CATGGTGATCATGGACTAAACCTCTGAAACTGTAAATGCTTCCTTTTATAAGTTGCCTTGGTCATGGTGTTTCTTCACAGCAGTAGAATAGTAATTAAGACAGTGCCTGATTTTTTTTTTTTAACCAAAGTCCATAAAACCTCACCAATGGACAAATGTCAGAGAGCTGGAGTCATTCCCCATGGAAATGATCTCTGATAGCAGAGAACAGCCAAGTTCATGGTTTTCATTTTCAAAGCTGCTCCAGTGATATGTGAAGAAAAGAAGCAGCTACAGAAGTGCATCTGATTTTGATGAGGGTGGGGGAGGGGCACCAGGCTTCCCACCACTGCCAGAGAATGATTTCTGTGAATCACAGGCAAGACCCTGGCCTGCTTCTGGAGGGTGAGGAAATTGAACATCTGCTTTAACAACTGGGCATGCACACTCACCACACATGGAAGTCATCAAGGACAGGCTGACCGTGTTGGACAAGATGATGTGTTGGTATAAACAAGGACGGCTCTGTGTCCTCACAGTTGGAGGAGGTCCATTGTCAGGGCTCTGACTGGGCTGACCATCAGTTCCAACAGTGCACATGTGTTGTCTCATCATCTTTTTTGTATAATTTACTAAAGGATTGAGATGGTTTTAATATGTAAATATTTTAAGTTAGAAAACTGACTCCTCATCCTTCCATCATTAAATCACAGAGCTTCCAAAACTAGAGAAAATAAATAAATAAAAAGCTGCGTATTCAGCTAAAAATAAAAATGAATCTCAAATGCAATTTCCTCTTTGAATGGTTTCCTCTCTTCTCCAGAAAGAAATTGACTCCTCTTTCTAGGTTCCCACTACTTTCTAATCACGCTCCCTCTGGCCGTGCCGCACTGCGTTGTAATTATCGGTCTCCGTGTTTGGTGCTGGAGACTTGAGGTTAACAAGTCACAAGTGTGGTGATATTCTATTTGTGCTGAAATGTGGTGATATTTTATTTGTATGTTAATAAATAAAGTTTGCTTGGGGTTCGGGGGCCTTGGCCGGCCTTAACCAGAGTTCGGGCGTTGTTGGCCCCGGCCTTTATTCGGTTCCCTTGGCAGGCGGGTTTTTTTTTTTTTCAGGGCCCCGTTGGGGACCACCCAGTTTTGTTACCCCCGGCTTTTATTCCCGTTCCCAGCCTTGGGGCCTTGGGGTTTTTTCCGGCCGGGCGTTGCCAGGGGGTTGGGTTGGTTGGGTTAGGAGCCAATGAGAGGGCAGAACAGCAAGGCAATAAAGGCACAGGTTAGACAGGAAGAAGCTTTCTCTCTGTCTCTGGGGAAGCTAAGGTGGCGTGGTGAGCTAAGGTCAGCTGGTGGCTCTCACTATTTCTCTGATCTCTATGGCCTTCACTCCTGTATTTGGCTCTGTGTTTCTTATTTAACAAGACTGTTTAGAAATTCGTCTACATACACTTTGGTTGTCATGCAGTAGAAACTTTCATACCATCTGCAATAAAGCTTAACTATGGCTGGAAATGTAGAGTGTTCGCTTAACATGTGCAAGGCCCTGGGTTCTACCCTGCACAAGAAAAAAGCAGGCAAAACAAAGAAGAACAACCACCAAAGCCCACCCCCACCTAGCCACTGATCCACAGAACCCATACACTCCAGGAAATACGTACTGTGGTTGCTTTACCTGAGTTTCTGAGTAACGGTTGGTTTTCAATAACTACACGGGCAATTTTAAGATCCTATGCATTTGTCTGCCTCTTCCCATCTCTTTGTTTAATCTGTGTTTCTGGGTGAGTTCACTGGCAGCCTGCATTGAGGCATGATAGAGTTCGAGGTGCATGTGCCTCCCCCGATTCTTGCTGGCTTTTTAAGAGAAGGGCATTCCCACAAAACTTTAGGCATACAGGACTGGCATCAGTTGCTGGCAAACATCATTAGTGGCCTCTAGCAATACCACTGTGTCCACTCATTTTTGGTTTGGGTTTTTATTGTTTCTGATGGTGTCTTATGTATCCCAGGCTGGCTGGAACTTGCTAAGTAGCTGAGGATAATCTCGAACTTCTAATCCTCTAGTCTCTCCCAGTTAGTACCGAGACTACAAACATGTGCCACCATGTACATTTTTGCAGTTTGCAGAAGAAGGGCAGGATTAACCTGAAGGATAGGAAGGTACTCCTAGGTCACCTAACTTCTTCCATCCACCTTTAATCTCTTCAGGCTTATCCCACCAAGTGTAGGAAGAACAGTTACTTCCTACCCTCATTGAGCTGATTTTTTAATAAAAATCTATGTTCCCTCCTTTAGCTTCTAAATCTGTGGCTTTCTACGGTGTGTATTTCCTTTCTCAACCCGGCCTGCTTCTTGAAAAATCAAAAACACTTGGCTTTCAGACTGTGCATTAGCTAAGGAGTTAAAAATCTCACTTGGAAACTCACAGCTGAGTGATGATTGCGTGTGCTAAGCTGCACCCACCCCTCCTCCAGGGACAATGCACAACAGAAGACCATTGCTCCCTTTTTATTGATAGGAAGATAATGAAGTAAAAGATTAGGAAAACATGACTTAATAGCAAAACTTCCCCCTGAAGTGATGGTTTCCACCCCTGACAGGACTCTAAGATTGTAGATGGCAAGGCCACATACATAAACTGGAATGTTCATGTAAGCCAGAGAATAACAGACACGGAGCCGTGATAGCAAAGGTCCGAGTGTCAGAGCCGTGAGAAGGCACTGGCCTGTGAAGAGCTGTGAGAAGCACACATCTCATTCCACAGAGCTGCCTCCTATGCCCTCTACTAGAGGGGCTGACAATTTTCAAGACTTCGTTTCCTAGTTTCCTTAGGGGTCAGTTAAGGGTCAGCGGTAAGATTCTGCAAGGAAACAAGTATTAACACACTAGAAAGTCTAAGCCGGCTCTTGCATTCTGAATGAAAGAGATAGATGCTGGACAAGGTTTCTAACAAACCTCTCCTTCAGTCTCACTGTCAGCAACGGGAAACATTCCCCATCACTCTCTGACCTATGAAGTAAGGATATCTGTGATGAGAAGAACCACGTGAAACCCTTTGAGTCCTTCCTTTCCAGTAAAGGATTTCCGGGGCATGTTCCGGAAACTCTGTAGGAATTGGTACATCCTCCAAAGCTTTGAAGGATGTAGAGGTGATTGTTACAATTTGATTCCTATTCACTTCCTCTACAGAGCCACAGAGAAGGGATGGTTCTTGGGAAAGGACAATGTATATACTAAGGCTAATTAGGAAGAGAATTTAATACAGCTGGTCTTTTTGATACAGTCTCTTTATTGCAGCAAAATGGCGCAGTCACAGATATCTATGATGCTGCTATATTTAGGAAATATTTCCTGTCCTGGCCCAAATAATAAAGAAACCCAGGGGCAACATGCTTCTGCCTGACAGGGACAACAGAACACCTGACTATCTTTCCCCTGGCCCATGCAAGGGAATTTTTGGAAAATTTGATATCTTGACTACCTATCTTGTCCACCATTTTCTGTGACATCTGTGTGGATGACCTGAGGTTAGAAAGTTCCTCGGATTCCTAAGTAAGACATATGCCTGCTAACGATAGAAAGATAACACCACAAAGACATGGACTTCCAGTCATTAAAAAAGAGACATGATTCTTGTTAGGTCTTTGTGTATTTGGGGCACTGCCTATGTGGAATACAGGTCTCTTTCTGTAGCACAAATATTGAGTGAACTGAAACATTCACTTCCATCTATGATCTGGACTCTGGGGAAAGAAAAGCCAAGCTGGATGACCTGAGAACACAGCTAGGCATTCTTATGTAGCCCCACAATTTACATTTTGAGAAACAGTTCTTCAGTTGCTACCAGACCCCATTTAAAAATGAAAAGTTTGACTCTGGGACATGAATGACTACGGTGACTGAGAAACCCAAGACAAAATAATTGTTTTGTGTTTCACTTCTTCATATGACTGAGGTGCCCATAAGTACTGCTACATGGAAGCATCAGATACCCACTCCAAAATAAATGAGTTCTGAAAACACAAATGAGTTGCAGAAGCAAATAGCTCATTTTCCTAGCAGGGTGCCCCTGTCCCCTGCTGCCACTCTCAAAACACTTAGAGTGAATTTACTGATCCAGTTAACTGACAGGAGAGGCTAGCCCTTGGGTTGCATGTGGGTCTGCAGGATATAACAACCACCTGGAAAAGCACTGATGTCATGGTCCGGCCCTTCTGTAGGTTTTTGGTGCAGAGTCTGTGTTAACATCAATGTATGGTACCAGCATCCCCAGTGCCAAAACTTAGTCTTTATCATCCATGGATTCACATTTGCAGTTATCTATTTGAGAAAATTTGCTTATAATTCTAAAATCAACAGTGATAGCACTTTCATGAATCCTTGAGGATGTGTGCGGGATGGCTTAAAAAAAGTTTTAGGTGTCTTGTGCACACATTTCTAGCTCAGACTAAATAGGTGATACTCTCTGTCTTCTTGTTCAAGATCAAATACTATAATAAGCATCATTTTTGGCCTGTGTATCCCTATGTTTATTGACATTTCTGTGCTTTTTATCGATTTTGCTACTTACAAAACACAGTGGTACCAAACACAGAGCTGACATGCTGTCTATTGTTCCTGGGCACAAGGATGCTATGATATGCCTGTGGGGAATAAACATGTGTCAGGTGAGTTTCATTCAGGCCTGAGTTACACTGCTGTTGGCCATAATGTCAATGTTAAGGAATCAACAAGATGGTATATCCAAAAAATAAAAAATAAAAAGAAAGAAAGAAAAAGAGAAACGGCAATCCCTGTTATATATGTCAGCCTTTGGTAAAAAGAAATTGCAGTTACATCACTCCAGGTAGTATGGTTCTTCAAAGAAATAAAGTGAATAGGAAATATCTACAGTATATAAAGAAATATTATCTGTCTATTGATCATCTAAAGAAAGATTAAAACTAATTGATTCATGCAATTGTGTAGATGGAGAAGCTAAACCCAGGAGCATTGATGGTGTGATTCTAGACTCTCCAAGATGGAGAGAGTCACTTGCGGAAGTTCCATTCAAAACCAATGACAACAGAACAGTGTTTTGGCCTAAAGGCAGTGAGGCTGAGCAAAGAATTCTTTCTTACTTGGTAACCTGCTTTACTAGGTCTAACACAATGACACAATGGTAACAGAAACCTCCCCCCGCCCCCCGCCCCCCTGCCCCGAAATATCCTTACAGTCGGGAATAGCCAAGCATCTGGCGCCCCATTGCCCAGCCATGTTGACACATAAAATTGATATTACATCTAGGGTCAAGAAACTCTTGCCTAGTACTTGCTTGCTTATGCATTTCAAATGGTGGCGGAACATGAAGATTGTTAAACTGGCAGGTGGGGCACATTCTGCAGATGGGTATGTGGCAGAAGAATTTTGAAGAGACCTTTTATGTGTTGTGTGTATATGTGAGTGTGTGTGTGTGTGTGTGTGTGTGTGTGTGTGTGTGTGAGTGTGTGTGTGGGGGGGAACTATATATATGTCTCTCTATCTAAAGGACAGGGTGAGAAATATCTCAAGAACTGACAATGTCATCTACACCAGTGACTACCATCATTTCTTTTAAACTTTCTTCAAACTAGCTTTCATGCCCATTACCAAAAATGTTCATCTTAACTTTACCAGTGCCCTCCACATTGCCACACTCAATGAATGTGTCTCTGACCTCAAATTTCTCTAACTTCCAGCATCCTTTGCCTTAACTGAGCACCACCTCTGAGACCTTCTTCCTCCCACAACTGTTCCCATTTTACTTCTTCTCCCACCTTCCAAGCCTCTTTGTAAAAGTCTCCTTTGCTAAATTCTCCTTCACAAAGTGTGATCCTCCTCAAAGCTTAGCTCTGGACCCTCTTCTCTTGAATATATTTAAAACAGAAGCCCTGCTTGTCATCTCAAAGTGCTGACTTCAAGCATCCAACTCCTGTTTGTATCCCGACATTAACAAATGGTAGCTCATTCATCCGGGAACTGATTAGAAATCTAGAATTTATTCTTGACTTTTCTCTATTACTGCCCTCTTGCAGCTGCATGCACACACTCTGTGTCTACTATGCCGGGGGCCCACTACAAAACAGGTGGAGTTAGGAATCAATCACAGAGAGACTTCTATAATTCCAGATTTGTGCCATTTCTGTCTGTCTGTATCTCTCTCTCTCTCTCTCTCTCTCTCTCTCACACACACACACACACACACACACACACACACCACACACACACATAATCAATCAACATAAAATCCTAGATAAGGGTCTGGGTTTGAGTCACTTGTCAGTCATTTTGATCAGGAAAGTGTAAGACAAGCCAGAACAAAGCAAAACTACATCACTGAGGACTGGTAGCTGCTGATAAGTCCATTGGCTCCTTCCTTCCTATCTTGTGTACATTTCTCCATTCTGACAGGGCACCCAAAATAATGGATTCTTTTTTATTTTGAGGACAGGGTTTCACTATGTAGCCACAGCTGGCCTAGAGCTTGCTATGTAGACTAGGCTGGTCTCAATTTTACAGAAATCTACCTGCTTCCCAAGTGCTAGGATTAAAGATATGTGCAACCATGTCTGCCTTAATAACTCATTATAGTGCTGAAAAGCATTGAGGATTTTTTAGAACCAGTATTATATCGAGTCCTGAAAATACTCAACAACATGAATTAGCGGATTTGGTTATGAGTAGATTCTTCTTTTGAGTTCTTTTTCAGTCTCTGGTTGCTTCCAGCCTGAGCTGCCTCCGATTGGAGGGATTCTAGGAAATGTGTTCACGGCACTCTTGAGTTTATGAGCATGAGACAACACATGAGAAAACACACAGTGAAAGAGAAAAGGCAGACACGAAAGGAAAGCAAGAAGATACAGACCAGGAGAATACAGGAGACACAGACAAAGGGGGAAAAGGAGGACGTAGACAAAGAAAACAGGAAGATCCAGACAAAGGGAAGTTAAGCAGAGGTTTTCTTCCATCCCTGTGACCCATTTCTGGGTAACAGTCATAATCCAAATTAATATAATTTATCAAAACTCACAGTAACTCATTTAATAATTTTATAACAAAGGGCTGAAATTACTATTTCCCAAAACAGAAAGAATCTCAATGGACAGAGAAAGTCATTCCTCTCTTTCATGCTCTTCCTTTGAAAGACCAGCAGAGGGCGAGCATGGTTACAAGTAACATCAGCTGTGCCTTCTTGGAATGTTACAGGCCGAATGTTAATTCGAGAACAGAGACGTGAGTGATGTGGCTGCACATGTGGGTTTGTCTTACCCTGGCATCACTGCTGTCGGGGTCAGTCTGTGACACAGATTTCAGTCCTCACAACCTGCAGCACTTGTGTCCTGGGGAGAGATTGGAGACATACAGAAGAAAGAACAACTTGTCTCTCATTGTAAGGATAAGGCTTCTATGCCTGTCACAGCCAGTACATGACCCCCAGACAGACAGACAGACAGACAGACAAACAGACACACACACACACACACACGTGCGCGCGCGCAAGTATTCCCAAAGGCTCTAGAATTTAATCAGAAGGAAATCAAGGGAGGGTAAGCTTATTTTTTTCATATACCCTCAGTTCTTAATAAAGGCACAAAGAGGCACTATGAAGAGGAAAGGTGAGGCTTTTGTGAGCCTGAATATTATAACAAGGGGGAGAACTTCCTATTAAAATTTAGAAATGAGTAATGTGGGGATTCCATGCTGTTTGATTGACTGGTGGGTCCTTTTGGGTAAAGCCTTTCTCATACTCTAGTTCAGTGATCAAAGATAAGTTCTAGAAGCCTGTTCAATGGGGGAAAATCAAGTTATCTATTTATTTTAGGTAAAAGCAGAGAAGTGAATCACTATGTATGCTGATGGCTGAAGAGTAAGTTGATACAACTTGTAGAAAGCAGTTAGACAATGTTTATCACAAATGTTTATCAATACGGTCATTCTACATGCTTACTTATTCTCACTTTGGTCTGTGAAAACACTAGTGTTCACAAATATGTGCATCCACGGTTGGGATCCCTCAGTAAAGGGCTTGCTAGTGCAAGCATGGGGACCCGAGTTCAAATTCCCAGAATCCATGTAAAAATCTGGGCACAGTGGCACATCCCTATAATCACCCCACTGCGGAAGAGGGTCTTAAGAGGCTGGTAGATCCTCAAAGCTCACTGGGCAGCCAGCCCACCTAACTCTGAGCATCAGGTTCAGTGAGAGACCATGACTGAAAAGAAACAAGTGGAGAATGCTTGAAGAAGCTATCCTATCTCAACCTCTAGCCTCTCCTGGGGTTCATACATGTACACACTCGTCTGCATGCATACACCGACACACTCATAACATCCCCACCCAAATCCACATAATTTAAGAATTCCCATCAAAACAGTGCTTGTCCTCATTAAAACACAAGGGCTTATTTGCAAATGACATTATATTATATATAAGAGATACCAAAAACTCCTCCAGAAAACTTCTTGAAACATTCAATAATTACAGCAGTGTAATTGGAATGATATGACATCAACTTGCAAAAATCAGTACCTTTTCTACACAACAACAAACATACAAAGAGATCACGGATACACTCCCATTCACAATAACTTCCAGGAAAATAAGATGTTGTCTTAGGGGTTTTATTGCTGTGAAGAGACACCATGACCACAGCAACTCTTACAATGGAAACATTTAATTGTGGTGGTTTGCTTACAGTTTCAGAGGTTCAGTCCATTATCATCATGGTGGGGAGCATGGCAGCGTGCAGGCAGATGTGGTATTCCAAGTAACTGAGAGTCCTGTATCTTGCAGGCAACAGGAAATCAACTGAGACATTGGGAGGTATCCTAAGTATAGGAAACATCAAAGCCCACCCCCCACAGTGATGCATTTCCCCCTAACAAGGCCATATCCACTTCAGCAAAGCCACACCTCCTAATAGTGCCACTCCCTATGAGATTATGGGGGCCAGTTACATTCAAACTACCACAGATGTCTAGGAATAAACCTAAACAAGGAGGTGAAAAACCTCTTCAATGAAAGCTTTAAATCTCCAAAGAAAGAGATATAGAAAAAACTAGAAAATAAAAAGATACCCATGCTCATAGATTGATAGAAAAAACAAAACAAAACATTGTGAAAGTGACCATTCTACCAAAAGCCAGTTACAGATTCAATGCAATCCCAATCCCCATCCCCATCTCATTCCCCAAAAAACTAGAACGAACTCTCCTAAAATTCAAATGGAACCACAAAAGACCCAGACATCCAAAACAATCCTGGTCCCAAGAAACAATGTTGGAGGGATTGCCATTCTAGATCTCAAGTTATATTACAGAGCCATAGCAATAAATACAACATGGCACCAACATAAAGCAGATTCTTGTATAATATTATAGAGACCAGCCTTAATATTATACATCCCAGGGGCTCAGGAGAGAGAACTACTAACAGCGAGGACTATTTTCAGGAAATAGAATCTCAGCACACCGAGCTCTATCGTCCACTTGCTTTAATTCCTCTGGCATAACATCCTATCTACACAGCTTCAGTTCTGTTCTAATGTCTAGCTCCTTTCTTGCCTGATTTCTCTCTGTATTTATCCACTGCTCCCTCTAAGTTCTATCTTAATTCTCTCATCTTAATTCTGCCTCATCTAGGTCCTTTTCAGCTTGTTCTTACCCAGCTAGTACTTCCCCATCTGGCTCTTCCTCATCTTCCATCTCGTTCCTCTAGTACTCTCTTCTAGCCCTTCAATCTAGTTCTTCCCCATCTCAGTTTGTTCCTCATAAGTTCTTACCCGTCTTGTTCTCCCATACTCTTTTCTCTTCTCTGACTTCTGTGCCCTGGAAGTCCTGGTATATAAAGCCCGGCTCCGGCTCCCAGGGTCAAACAGAGGGGTGATAAGAATCACATTGAGAGGCAATAAACCATTAATTATCATTTGCAACCCCAAAGGGAAGTGACCAATGGGGAAATGAATTAACTAAAGGCTAAATTCGGGTAATATATAAGAAGAGGGAATCTTATGTGCTCAATTATAGCCTTAAACGTGATTGGTAGAAAATGTTAAGAATCTATAAGTTGCTAGGTCAATGGGAGAAAATAAAACTGTCTTCTTTTTTCCTGTAGCTCCTATCTGTCCAAGCTATCTGCCGTTTTTTCTGCAGGGTGGGGAAAAGTATGCTCAGTTGCTAGGCAACCTGTACACAGCTAGATGCCTCTGGTGATAGTTAAAGGGAGACCTGGAACCAGAGGTAAGATTTGGGAAAGGAGGAAGTAAAGCTTAATTGGCACATCCTCCAGGCCTTCTGAAACAGGTAGCCCAGATGGTTAAGTCTGTTCTTAGAGAGTACAGAGGTATCTCTGATAAGGTACTTTCCTCCATCTGGGAATGGACCTGGCCGGATGCTGCCAATGATGATAATTACAGGGAGGCTTGAACTGGGGTTCTGGCTGAGGATAGCTATCAGTGCAGAGGGTTATCTAAATATTCCTAGAAGTGGTTAGGTAAGGAGTTAAGAGGTCTGTAAAGTTAGTAAGGTTGTAAGAAAGGAGGGTCTGAGCTGAATTGTGTAAAGCCATTACTTAACATCCACCTCACCTAGGTGGTGTCTCCTTGTGGAATTTACCTTAAATCAGGAGACTTGCATGTGGACTGTTATTACTGCTAGTCCTTGTAAGTGGCCAAGGGAGATATCTGATTCCAGAGAAAGCCTTTCCTGAGGCTGTTCTCCAAATACCTGGAATGTGTATGTCCAGAGAGTGATCAGTCCACACTCTTAGCCCTTCTTGGGGAAAAGTCAATTGGGAAAACTATGAAGGCACACATGACTTTCATAACAGAATACAGCTGATATATAACAAGCCAAGTAACACCAAAAACTCCTTGGGATTTGGCTTCCTCTGGAGGAATTCCCTGATTCCTCCAGGTAGTGACTTTGCCATAACCAGCTGAGTTCTTATAATATATTCCTGTGGCCCGCAGCAGCAAATGTGTAGGCCATTGGAATAAAACAAAAGATGCAAATAGGAGTATACGTAACTACAGCCATCTAATATTCAACAAAGATGCCAAAACCATACACTGGAGGGAAGACAGCATCTTCAACAAGTAGTGCTGGGAAAACAGGATGTCCACATGTGGAAGAGCTAAATTATACCCAGGTCTATCACTATGCACAAAAAATGAACTCCAAATGGATCAAAGATCTAAATGTGAAACCTGAAACTATAGGAAGAAAACAGAGACAGTACCTACAGGACGCAGGTGTAGGAAAGGACTTTCTGAATAGGACTTCGTTTACCCAGGAATTGAGGTCAACACTTGACAAGTGTGACCTCATAAAACTAAAAAATTTCTGCACAAAGAAATAATCCACTGAGTAAAGAAAAAGCCCACAGAATGAGAATCTTTGCAAGCAAGCTCTACATCAGACAGAGGATTAAAATGCAGAATACATAAAGAACTCAAAAAACAAACAACCCATTCAAAATAAATGAGCTTGGAATCTGAACAGTGAGTTTTCAAAAGAAGAAATAAAATACCTAAAAAGTATTTTTTAAAATATTCATTTCCCTTAGCAATTAGGGAAATGTGAACCAAAACAGCTTTGAGATTTCATCTTACCCCAGTCAGAACGGCAAAGATAACAAAACAACTGACTATAGAGGCTGAAGAGGATGTGGGGGAAGGGGAACCCTCACTCGCTGTTGATGGGATTGTGAACTAGTCTAGCCACTCTGGAAATCAGTGTGGAGAACCCTCAAAAGGCTACCATCTATACTACTCCAGTGGCATCTGCCCAGAGGACTCGACATCCTACCCACAGATACTTACCTGCTCAGCCATGCTCATTGCCACTCTATTCTCAATAGCTAAGAAATGAAAACAACCTAACTGCCCTTCAACTGGTGAATGAGTGATGAAAGCGGGGCACATACACACCATGGAATTAATTCTGTTCAACTGTAAAGAAGAATGAAATCATGAACTTTGCAGATAACATGGATGGAACGAGAAAAGAGCATATCGAGTGAGGTAACCCAGACCCAGGAAGACAAGTGCTACATGTCCTCTTTCATTTGAAGTTCCCAACTCAGAATCTTCAGATGTGAGTGCAATAGCCTGGATTTAATTCCTGAAAAAAGGAAAGTGAAAGGGGACTTTTGAAGAGGGAGAAGCAATGGAGAGGGGAATAGCTGGGTACAAGTAATTTAAACAGGGTAACTGGACAATGGGGCTAAAATTGGGGAGGGGCGATATAGGTACATATAGAAGGAGGGAGGAGAGTAAAATAACCATGTCTGAGAAAGTTATAATGAATCTTATTATCTACCTAATATTACATATAATACACAAAATTCTGTGTATGCACACATAATTTAAACAAAAGTTTTCCATGGACTATGTAACCAAATCCAAACATCATAAAGAAGTAGCACACCTTTGAGTTGTTGTTGGTCAGGGTTGCCCAAGAGATGACCCAAACATCATAGGCTATTGCTGTTGCCCTTGGCTGCCCCACAGAGGTGGAAGGTAAGTCCCTGTTGCTGAAGACATCGTGTACTTCAGACACAGTATCCAGAGGACCTGAACTGGATCTGACCTAAAAATTTCATCTTTGGATGAGGGTTAGCTTTCATAGTACCAGAGGGCACCATGCAAACTTCCAAGGAAGAGAAGCAACCAATAGTCCTACCAAGCTATGATGCCTCTGAATCATAACTTTAAAGGTACAGTAGTGGCATGCAGACCATGGATGTTATTAACAGCTCTCTAATTGGACTTAAGGCCTACTCAACAAAAAGGAAATCATGCCTGCTTATACTAGAGAGTCATGGATATTGAAGGAAAACCTCTAACTTCCACCCCACTAAACCAGCATAATCACTAACTATATTATAAGTCTTTATCCTTACACCCACAGAGAAGCCTAGTCCTCACCCCCCATCAAGGGAACTTCTCTTTGACACAGACATAGACCATTACAGAAAACCACAACTGATTAAAAAAAAAAAAAGAAAAAAAGAAACTGTGTGGTGTCCAGTCCCAGCAAATACACTTATGACACAATCCCCGCACCTGAGGTTCAGGGATTATTCTGGAAGAGGAGGCAGAAGGATTGTAAGAGCCAGAGGGACAGGAAGTATACAGTGAGCTTGTCTCCAAGAAATGTCAGAGAAGCTACACCAATGAAGTTTCGTCAACATGGCTGGCTAAATAAGACCTGATCATGATGAAGTTTCATCCATCAACATAGCTGGTTAAATAAGACATGATCAATGACAGCACCAATAGAAATTCTAACATGGAAGGGGAAAGCTCGGGAGGCCTACCCTCATCAAAGAACTATAGTCAACTAAGGAATGCTGAGCAGGAGAAATAGTCTTCCCTAGAGAAGAACATCTCTAGTTGGTTATCCAATAATCAAGTTGTCAGCCCTAAACTCATATAATCATATACATACAGGTAACATTATATGAACTGAAAAGGTTGTATTTACATATTTAGGAATATATGCATAAAGAATAAACATATAGTATATATAAAGAATAAATGCACATTAGAATATATATATATATATATATATATATATATATATATATATATATATTCTCTTACAACAAAGAAAAGGAGGCCATGAATTCTAGAGAGAAATGGGAGTACATGGGAGGTGTTGGACAGATGAAAAAAATGAGGAAATAGTGTAATTATACTAAATTTCAAAAAATAAAAATATTATAAAAAATTTGATTGCAACTGAAAATTAACCATATAAAAAGAAGAGTGGACACAGAGCAGGGAAGATTCTCCGCACTGGCTTTGTTACCTTCATCCTTCCTCTACCTCTCACCCCCTCACAACTGTGATACATCCATCTCTCTTTGATACAAACCCCCAAACCACAGACCATCTGCTCAAATCCCACAGTCTCAATTCCCAGAGAACCCTGAGCATCTTAATTGCATGAGTGTTTACATTTTCTATTCCCAACAATCCCAATCTGTGAGCAAATATTTTTCTACTTTTCTAAATATGAAATGTACCCAGAGACATTAAGTCTAGACACACACTAGGAGATGGCAGGCCTGAGGTGTGAACAGGGACCATCTACTTCAGTGAACGACTTTCCAGTTCCTCCGAATGACTCCCTGTGCATGTACCATTGTGGACGCTCACTGTTTCAGCTTCCAGTTCAAAATTCTCTCCTTTCTCTTCAGATCTATTCCTTACAATAATCATATTTGTGCTTCCTCCTCCAATTATGACTAGATAAATGTACACAGACATAGGCCACTTTGATAGGCCGACCGAGTCAGCTTGCCATTGCAAAGCTATCACAGGGCTAAGGGTATAGCTCAGCTACAGAATGTGCCTTTAGCATGCTTAAGGCCCTGAGTTCCATGCCAGCATCACAACAAAAACAAAGTTAAAACAAAAAACTCTCAAATTGGTTTCCAAACATATTCTAAGTTTAGTGTTTTTATTCTGGCAGGACTGTATCTCTGTCTGGATTTCTGCTTTTATACAATAAACATCTATAATATACATAGTCACCTTTACACTTACCAAAACAGAGAAATAAAATGTTTAAAGTGATTTTTGCATAATGCAAATTTTGACATGAAATTAATAAAAAAAAAAAGCTCTGCCTTCTCTTGGAATACAGTTGCCTCTAAAACATAAAACAATAATCACACATTTTAAATTAATAATTAATTAATTAAAATTTTCTCTGATGATTAGTGATGTTGGGACCTACATACCTCCCTTGGAAAAATCTCTGTTTCACTCTATTGTCCATTTTAAACTCCGGTTATTTTCGTAGTCTGTAAGTTGCCTTTTACCAATCCTTCCTCTTGGGCCAGAGCGGCTGTCTTAGCTTGGCACAATCCCACTGGGTCACTCCTGCTCCGTTACTTGTGCTTCTGGTGTCGTAACCAAGAAATAATCAAGATAATGGCACGTGCCTTTCCCAGCATCTTCTGAGTCTCATAGCAGCAGGTCTGGTGTTGTGTATTTGATTAATTTTGAGTCAATGGGGGGGTACTCGAAGTAGGGGTCCAGTTTTATTCTTTCGTTGTGCACATTCGTCTTTCTCAACACCATTTGTTGACGAGGGGATTGTTAGGAGAATGTTGTCTTCAAGTTGTTGTCAAAGGTCAGTTGGTTCTGTGGGCTCATTTCTGGGTCCTCTGTTTAGTTACTTTAGTCCGTGTCACCATCCTTATGTCAAAGTTCCACCACTTTGACTAACATAGGTCTGGAAGGCGGTGATGTTTTGATGTCAGGACATGTGAATCCTCCAGCGCTTTAACTCTGTTCTTTTTTTATGATTGGTTGTTTCAAGAATTGGAGTCTTTTGTGGAAATAAATAAATAAAAGGAACTGAGGGGAGGGAGAAAGAAAGAGAAACAGAGATATCTCAATTATGTTCAGGATCCTTTGTCATTAAATATGGATTTCAAGGACTGATTTTTCTTTTCCTTCAAAGATGTAATTAGAAGTCTGAAAGGGTTGGGATAGTACAGATGTCTTAGCAAAGGGAAATTTTCCCATCCATGAATATGGACTCTTCTATTTGTTTTGTCTGTAATTTATTTTAATGATGTTTGTGGTTGTCTATGTATAAGTTGTTCTCCTCCTTAAAATGTTCTCTCAGTATATTTTTTTAGCAAGTTTTTAATTAATTTTAAAGTTAGCATACCAAGCTTCATTGTGGCATTTTGTTCCTGTACCACTACTGTTTGTTCCTGTTCATCCCCTTCCCCATCGTCCTTCCCCGTTGCCCTTGACGCCCTCTTTGCTGGGCTCTTTCATTCTCCTTAGAGTCTGCCCACTGCTCTCATGTCACACGAGTGCCATTATCCTCTCTTTTTCAACCCACCACCAATAATACAAACACAAAGTGAGAGAGAGAGAGAGAGAGAGAGAGAGAGAGAGAGAGAGAGAGCACAATTGAAGTCTAGATTGCAAATGAGAAAAAAAATATGGTATTTGTCATTCTGAGTTCGACTTATTTCATACAACATAATGATCCCCAAGTCCACCCATTTTCCAGAAAATGTCGTAATTTCATTTTTACTTCAGCATGGGTGTGCGTGTGTATCTGTGTAGTAAGCTGATGTAAGAGTACTTCAGGTATATATCCAGGAGTAGAAGAGCTGGTTCATATGGTAATTCACTGTTGGGTTTTTTTAAATCACATTTAATATTTTCTCTGTGTGTGCCATGTGCTTCTGCTTAGCGTGTGTGTGGAGGTCAGAGGATCACTCGTGAGAGTCAGTTCCCGGGGATTGAACCCAGCTTGGCCAGGTTGGCAGCAAGTGCCTCTTCCCACTGAGCAGTATCACCGGCCCCTATTCTTATTTTCATGAGGAATTTACCCACTGACTTCCACAGTGGCTGCCAGTTACAAGGGTTGCTCTTTCCCTCCACCCTGACCAGCGCTGGTTGTTATTTGTTTTCTTGACGGTAGCCATTCTGACCATGGGATTTCAGAGACGTTTTAATTTGCATTTGACTGAAGGCTAATGATAGTGAGCCCATTATTTCATATTTACTGGCCATCTGTGCTTCTTAGAGATTATTTATTCCACTTTTAGTCCACCAACTGATTGAATGATTTGTGGGGCTAGTGTTTAATTTTTGCAATCTGGGTCTTAGTGAGGACCTAGCTGATGTACAGTTGGCAGGGGCATCTTCTGCATCCTGTAGGCTGTCTTTTCACACTGGGGATGGCTCTGCTTGCTGAGCAGAAGCTTCTAAATTTCCTGTAATCCCATCTGTCAACCTTAGAGTTATTTCCTGTGTTGCTAGAGTCCTGCTCAGAGAGTTGCCGACCCCTG